TTTTACCACGGTTTTTAAATGCCTAACCTGGTTGAATACAGAAAAGTAGAAGCCAGCTTCCTGGCTACAGAAAATGCCAGGTTAAAGCTAAGACAGGAAACAAAACCTTAGTGCTGAGGGAAAGTCTGAAGGCCTGGCATGCTGACGAGGAAGACTGGCTATGGGAAGATTGTAATCAGGAGCTCCAGAGAAGGAGTGGGTGTGGGGTGGAACCTAGATTCAGACCCAAGGCAGAGTCCGGTCTCCCCTATGCTATGCATGTGGAAGAGGGTTTTACTAAGACAGGAAATCCTAGGTCAGAGAAGCCAGATCTCGGGTATGATCTTTAGTCAAGGGCAGCAAAGTTCTGGGATGAATAGACTTGATATCAGGTGATCTTCGGTGATTCCTCCTTAGGGAGCAGAGATTCCAGGCCAGGAGGCCGTGGAAGGAGGAAGTGGAGACAGGCCATTAAAACCAGCCTCAAAGTCCCACAAGAATGGAAGCCCCTGGGGGTGGGGGGCAGCAGGGGTCTGGAGGGGTGGGGGTGGGTAGTTTATACATGATCGAGTTGGGTTTTTCTTTTTTTTTTTTTTTTTTTTCTTCCCTGAAACAATAGCCACCAATTGGGTTTGTCTATGTAGAGAAAGGAACCGGAAGTAGAGATTCTTGGAGTGAGAAAGAAGACAGGAATAGTCTTTATGGTGAGGGAGGGGATGGGCTCGGGCCAAGGTGGCCCACAGGGGCCCTGGTCAGCCTACAGGATGGACCTGTGCTTTGAAGCCAGGAGAGGAGTCAGCAGGATGGGTGGGGAGGCCGATTAGCCATCGCTCAGGGTTGGGCGGGGAGCCCAGGGAGTTCCCTCCAGGCCCGATGTTTCTAGATCAAGATGGAGCTGAAGTCATCTCCTAAAATGAACAGAGGCAGGCTGCAGAGGATGAGAGCTAGAGATAGACCGGAGGCCTGAGATAGAAGGAGGGACAAGGACCAAGTTTGGCTGGGACCTGACTTGTGGCGTGGGCAAGGCGGAACAAACTAGTGAGACATGTGTCTCACGTATGCCACTTGGGAGACCTGGGAGGTGGAGCTTGGCTTGCTTAGCCTTAGCGTTGACCCTGCCTAGCTGGGTCTCAGTTGCTCGTATAGTAAAACGAAGCAGGGGTCTGAGGGGGTACTCTGAGGAGAGTCCTCATCCCACAGTCTTCCTTGGAGAAATAAAACGACATTCTCTGGGACCGGCTGGTGCCAACTTTAACTCTTAATGTTCCCCACTGACTTTTGTTCTGGGTCTTTGCAGTCGGCTGAGTTTCATTGTGGCCTCTTGAATGGACCCTTCTCTAGCTGCTGCCCTTTCTACATTGCCCCTTCCGCCAGCTCAAAACTAACCCTAAAAGCAGTTTCAGGTGACTGCTGAAGGGGGATCCAGCCGGACTGAAGTCGGTCTTGCATCAGCTAACTTTGCCTTCTCACCAGTTCTCAACCTAAGAGAAATTTCAGGTCAGCTTAACATCCCTCAGGACCAACTCCCTTCTCTGGCTGCTGTAACGCTCTACAACTAAATCTGGTGACGGCTGTGGGTGGGGTGTGTGTCCGCCTCTGAGGATGATGTTGCTTCCACACCATCAAATCCCAAATGGTTTGAGATGGGACCCAAAGACACAGGTACCGGCCAAAAATTCTACCATGAGCCTTCTGCTTTGGGTGGGCTTTTATTTCCTTCCCACTCCGGCGTCCCTCACAGTCAGTGCTTTCTGGTTTAGTATCCTCATACTCATATTTTTACCCGGTTACTGAGTATTTTACCCTCTGAACTTCCCCCTCTATCTCAAAGAGTGTTTCTATGTAACAACCCCCTACCCCACTCCCATGGCCCTGACCCTACAACAGATACAACTCAGCCAACTGACCAATCAGGTTAAGGAAGACCTACCTGATCACCCTACCAAATCAAACCCCTGGCTGCAGGGATTCTCTGAAGCACAGAGGGCTAGACTTAATGACCGCCAAAAAGAGAGGTACCTGTGCCTCCCTAGGGGAAGGATGGCTGTTTTCATTCAAACCAGCATGGAAATGCTAAACAACTCATGGAAAGAATCAAACATGGAGAAAAAGTCCCTGCCTTTTCAGCTGTCTCTTCCAACAAAGACTACAAGCTTACGCCTCCCAGAGAATCACTCCATTCTTCATGGCCAAAAACTATATATACCAGCCACTCACTGTTCTTCATGCAAGGGACTTCAGCCTGCTCCTTTCCACCACTGAGACCATCGTCGTCTCCAGCTGGAAGAAGCTCCCTGACACCCCCCCCCCCACTACAATCTTCCTCCCTTCTTTTTACCCTCTGTTTTGTTTTGTTTTTTTGTTGTTGTTGTTTTGTTTTTCAAGACAGGTTTTCTCTGTGGCTTTGGAGGCTGTCCTAGAACTCGCTCTGTAGACCAGGCTGGCCTCAAACTCAGAGACCCGCCTGCCTCTGCCTCCCAAGTGCTGGGATTAAAGGCATGTGCCACCAATGCCCAGTGAGTTAGGATATATTGTATAATAGCCTCAGGTCATGAGGACTTGAGTTAGGCTGCCCTGAGCAATAGCCCCTAGCCATCAAGAATGGCTCAGTCCTAGCCCGCCGGTTTCACTCCATCTGCAGAAACAGTATGTCTGGGTATCAAAAGAACCCATTCCGCTTCCAGTCCAACCACAAAAATAAATAAATAAATAAATCACTGTAACTTCCTGGTAGACACACACATGCACGCGTGCGCGCGCGCGCGCGCACACACACACACACACACACACACACACACACACACACACACACCCCAGCCCCAATAAGCATGTTCAGTCTTTATCCCTCAGAAAGGTTGAGGCCCCACGCTGTTCCAATAAGCAGTCCCAGCCCACTGTCGGCCTCTCTGGCTCATTTTTCTTACAGCTGGTGACATCTGAAGCAGAGAAAGAGGGAAGGAGCAGTGGGCAATAGGCTATGGAATCTTGAGGAGCAAGAACCCTCTAGGGTTGGCAGAGCAGAATCCAGGCAAGACACAGGGGAGGGCAGGGGTGTATGTAGTTCAGTTGGTAGAGTGCTGGCCTAGCACGCTTAATGCCCTGGTTTTGGTCCCCAGCACTGCATAACCCTGGTGTGATGTGTGCCTATAATCCCAGCCCTTAGGAGACAAAGGCAAGGCGACCAGAAAGTCAATGTCACCTTTAGCTACATAGTGAGTTTGAGGTGCATGACAGCCTGTGTATGAAAGAGAGACAGAGACAGAGAGAGGGGACATGGCCGGGTGGGGAATAAATGGGACAGAAGTTTAAATTGTAAAGGTGGGCTAGGAGTGAACACCCTTGTCATTTACTAACCCCTGTAAACAGGGCAAGCAAGTCATCTCCTCCACTCCAATCTCAGCCTTAGCCCACTCCATGCCACAGGGTCTGTGGACCATGTGTTTTACAGCAAAGGGGAAAGGGCCCAAGAAACAACGCGAAATCGGACTTAAAGATGAGTGATGCCGGGGTGGTGACGCACAGCTGTGATCCCAGCACTAGGAGGTTGAGGCAAGAGAATTTAGAGTTCAAAGGGCAGCGTGGGCTACACAGTGAGTTCAAGCCTACCTTAGGCTACAATGTGAGGCTCCTGTCTCAAACCAGACCTAGCAAAGCAAAGCAAAAGACAGAGACAGACAGACATCTGGGTCTTAGGTAGTGGAGATCTGATGGTAGGTTCTGACAACCCCTGGCTTTTCAGGCTGAGTCATGTCTTTCTGAGGCTCAGCAACCCCATCCGTAAGTGGGGATGGCTTGAAGATAACACACTGTTTACCTCCACAAGCTTCTAAGGGAGCCAGACACCTACGCAGGTACAGACTGACCAGAGACTTATGGACCACAGTCCTCCCCATCCTGGGGCCACAGTTCCATCCTTGGCTCAACACAGTAGCATCATGTATGTATGTCAGCTCAAAAGAGCTATAGGGGTGGGTGAGCCTGCAACCCAGGGTCCTTACTGCAACCCCGAAGTGACTTTGAACTGCCAGAGAATTTAACCTGTGGCCTTTTTCCTGGGCTGGGCTGGGCTGAGCCCTTCCTTCAGAATCCCAGATCAAGCAGAACAAAACCCTATACTGAAATTTCAGAGTGGATGATGGGTCAGATTTTAAGACAGAACCCTTCCCCATGTGCAGGTAGAGAAGCTCTCAGCTACAAATACCCTTGTGGGTAGAAGAGGAGATATGGCCTTCCCCTTTAATATCCTAGGAGAAAGGGAGTCCCAACATCCATTTTATAATCAGTGCCTTGGCCTTCATGAGTGTGTCAAGTCAGCTGTGTCTCATTTATAAACCAAAACAATTTTTTAAAAAGTTTTTGATTTTGGGGAGTTGGTTTTGTTTTGCTTCAGGCAGGAGCTCATATAGCCTGGGCTTCCCTCAAACTTGCTGTGTAACCAAGGCTTGCCTTGACTACTGGTCCTTCTGTGTCTGCCTCCCAAGAGCTGGGATCACAGACACCAAACCCAATCCAAAATAGAAGATCTTGGAAATGTAGTGTGATGTAAAAACAAACAATTTAAGATAGAAAGACTGCAAACAAATAATGGAGCATTGGATTTTTAAAAAATGATCTCCCCGCTGGTCAGTGGTGGTGCACACTTTTAATCCCATCACTCAGAGGCAGGGACAGGCAGATCTTCATGAGTTCAAGGCTAGCCTGGTCTACAGAGTGAGTTCCAGGACAGCCAAGACTATTATTACACAGAGAAATCCCATCTCAAAGAAAAAAAATCATCTGCCCAATTACAACAAATAGCAACCCACCAAGATCTAAGACTATGTCCTGGAACAATCTCCTACTCCATGTTTTGAAAACACACTCTTGAAGACTTACAACATTTTGTTCTATAAGCCTCTTTATAAAAATCCTTTGAAATATTTTTCTCAGTCATTACAAATACCAACTCTAAGCAGTCTGACAAGCTGAGAATCTCAGAAAAGACACCAAACACAAAGCTACATAAAAACATCAGGACTTACAGTTCTCCTGAGCCTGAAGGCTTGAATCTGGAAGAGACAAGGAGGGGTGGGAAGAAATCTGTTTATTTCACTAACTTCAAGTCTCATGAAACTAAAGAGAAAAGTAAGTTAAAAACTTACAGAGAAGAAGTGTAAGCAGGACAGCCTGGTGCATCTTGCTGACTGAGGCCCACCTCAGCTGCATCCTGAGAGGAAGATTCTCTCAGACCCAGTCTCACACTTAGTTCTGCCTTCTGGCCATACCTTGGGGGCAGAATTCTCTTCTCCGTCACAGACCAGAAATCCGCTGTGTGAAAAGCAGAAACTACTCTGGTGGCTTCTCCAGAAGCCCACAGAGAGACCAGCTCTGGTACTGGTCAGGTAATGGTGGCCATAGCTGGAAACAGAACAATGAGGTCTGGGCTGGCCTGATATCTCCTCAGGAAATGACTGGCCTTCCGGAGGGACCACAGAATCCAGTGGCTTTGTCTAGAAGAGGAGAAAACAAAAAGCCAGAAGTGACATTTGCCTAAGAGTTCTTGAGTCTCTTGCCTCATCTGGGTTTGGGGACTCCCCCACCCCAAGGTGAGGGGTTCTTATTTCCCTCCCTTTGACGTCTACCCAAAGTGCTTTTGCGGGTTACAGTAAGGGCTGTCTGCCTTCCTAGTGGGGTGTCCAAGGAACCTGTGTCCATGCAGCGTAAATCTGGGCCTCCTGTCCTGCCCTGGTCAGCTTTTCTGACGACTCGAAGGGTTTGTGAGGGGCAGTACTACCCAGGCTTTGGAGCTGGTGATTCAGTAGAAACAGGAACTGTCATCTTCAGCCTCCATAGTGGATTCTAATTACTGACTTAGGCACCATAAGGAGCCCACTTCGGCCATACATACAAACTAGATCATAAGGAGGCTTCTCTCCCCCAACCCTGACCCCAGCTTTTTTTTTTAAAACATTTATTTATTTGTGTATGTGTGGAAGTGGGGTAGAATACATGCATGTCACTGTGTGTTTAGGGGTGGGGGACAAACTGTAGGAATTCTTTCCTTCCACCATGCAGGTCCCAGGATCAAACTCAATCGAACTTAGAGCATCAGGCTTGGCAGCTGGCACTTTTACCCACTGAACCAGCCCCCTTTTATTTTTGTGTCTTCATGAGAGTATGAATGTGTGCATCAGGAGACCGGTGTCTGTGTGTATGTGTGTATCTGGAGGCCAGAGAAGGTTTCAGGGCCTCCAGAGATGATAATATTTGGCTATTGGGATTTGAACTCTAGTCTTCATGATTGCTCAGCCGGTGCTCTCCCCTCCTTCCCCCCCAGGCAGGGTTTCTCTGTGTAGCTTTGGAGCCTGTCCTGGCACACGCTCTGCAGACCAGGCTGGCCTCGAACTCAGAGACCAGGCTGGCCTCGAACTCACGGAGATCCACCTACCTCTGCCTCCAGAGTGCTGGGATCAAAGGTGTGTGCCACCACCGCCCCTCTTTCAGCTAGTGCAACTGCTGGGCCATCTGTCCAGTCCCAGTTTACCACTCTTCCTCCCTACTCCCCCCCCCTTTTTTTTGTAGTCATAGGAATTGAACTCAGAGTTTCAGGAATGCCAAGCATGTACTCTACCATTGAGCTAACATTTCCTATTCCCTTCCTTCATTCCTTCCTTTATTCTGATGCAGGGGCTGGCTAAATTGCTCAGGCTACCTTTGAACATAATCTTCCCATCTTCAGACAAATAACTGAGATTATAGATATGCGCAGCCTTGCCTCCTAGGGAAAGTTCTAGACTAGAGGTTGGTTTCTTTCACCGTGGTATTTGAAACCCTAACCCCCCATTACCCAGTCCTTGCTGAACCCTCTAGTTTGGAATCCCATCACTTCCTTCCCTGCTCTAGGCTCTGGTTGCCAAAATGTATCCCAGAATGCCTTTCCCATTGCTGTTTGCCCGCTGAAGCATCCCTTCCTCTCTTCTCTGCTGACTAATTGTTACTTATTTCTCTATTCTTTCTTAGCTGAGTGGACTTCCTCCTCCATGCCCCTTTACCTCCCTCATCTTCAAGTCAGGCCCTCCCTACAGTGTGTAGCAACAGCCTGTTCTCCTCAAGTAGACTGACCCCTCCATCATCTCGGGGAAATTGATTCGTACTTAGTAGATCAAGAAGAGAGATGGCTCAGAGGTTAAGAGCACTTCTGCTCCTTTGGAGGACCAGAGTTTGGTTTCCAGCACCCACATCAGATAGTCCATAACTGTGTATAACTCTAGCCAATGCCCTCTTCTGGCCTCTGAGGACACACACAGAGCAGACATTCATAGACACATACATATAAATAAGTTAAAAAATTAATAAGCTGCCAAGAGTGGTGGTGCACACCTTTAAGCCCAGCCCTCCGGAGGCAGAGGCAGGCAGATCTCTGAGTTCAAGGCTAGCCTGGTCTACAGAGCAAGTTCCAGGACAGCCAAGGCTATGCAGAGAGACCCTGCCTTGGAAAAAAAAGAAAAAATAATGATAAATTAAAAGGGTGTTAATTAGAGACTAGAACTGCAGCTCAGCTGGTAGAGTACATGCCTAGCATTCAGGAAGGCCAGGGTTCAGTGTTCAGCACCACATAAATCAGGTGTGGGGTTGATGTCTGTGATTCTACCTGGGAGATGGCAGCAAGAGGATCAGAGGTTAAAGGTCATTCTCTGCCACACAGTGAGTATAAGGACAGACTGGACTTCAGAGAACCCTGTCTCAAAACGAACAAAAACACATGAGTCAGGTATGGTGGCATACACTCTTAATTCCAGGAGTCTGAGGGCAGAGGCACAGATAGATCTCTATGAGTTCCCAAAATAAGAAAAAAACTAACAGAAATATCCCAAGGAGTGTTAGTGTGATGTTTGTCTGCTAGTGATGGGAATTACTGTATTGTCAGAATTGGATTGTTTGTGCTTTAATGGTGCCTTCTTCCTTCTTTCCTTCCTTCCTTTGTCCCTCCCTCAATCCCTCCCTCTCTCCTTCCCTCCCTCTCTCCTTCCCTCCCTCTCTCCTTCCCTTCCTTCCTCCCTTCCTTCTTTATTTTAGGAACAGAATCTCATATTGCTTTGGCTGGCCTTGAACTCATTATGTGGAGAACTCCTTGCTTCCTAACCCTGTTGCTTGCATCCAGCATGTAGCAAAAACCCAGCTGCATGTTGTTTCTGATGCATCACCCTTTGGGACATCCAGGGGTCACCAAAGACACTGCTCAGTGAGGACTGGTCTTCTATGTCTCAAGGCAAGAGCCAAAAAGTGATGGTTTCCATCTAGAAAATCATTCCTTGCTCTGACTGTTTGATAGCTAGATAGATAGATAGACAGACAGACAGATAGACAGACAGATAGCCATTGAAGAGCACTGAACATGGAACTCCCTCCCCCTCAAACCCTCCACTCTTTTCTTTCTTCTTTCCTCTTTCTCCTCTCCTCTCTCTTTCAGTTTCTGTGTTGTTGGGGTTTTTGTTTATATTATTTCGAGACATGTCCTCAATCTCACCCAGGGTCTCTCTATTTTGTAGCCCTGGCTGTCCTGGAAATCCCTATGTAGACCAGGCTGGACTCAGACTCACAGAGATCCCCCTGCCTCTGCCTCCTGGGTGCTGGGATTAAAGGTGGGCACCATCATGACCACCTGAGGCCACATTTTAAAAAACAATAAATAGAAGCTGCAGAGAGGGCACATTGGTTTGGAACCGTTGCTGCTCTTAGGGAGGACTGAGTTTGATTGCCAGCACCTACACAGTGGCTCACAACCGGGAGCTGAAACCCTCATTGACTTCTGTGGTCACCAGACATGCAGGGGACACACACACTATACAGGCAGGAAAGATACTCATACACATTAAAAATAAAACGAATTAAAAATTATAAATTAGCCAGGCGTTGGTGGTGCACGCGTTTGGTCCCAGCACTCGGGAGGCAGAGGCAGGCGGATGTCTGTGAGTTCGAGGCCAGCGTGGTCTACAGAGCGAGTTCCAGGACAGCCTCCAAAGCAATACAGAGAAACCCTGTCTCAAAAAACAAAAACCAAACAAACAAAAAAGATAAATTAAGGGTTAGAGAGACAGTCAGTGAGTAGAGGTACTTGCCACCTGAGTTTGAGTGTCAGGATCCACACAACAGGAGAGAACTGACTCCCACAAGCTGTTCCCCGAACCCCACATTAGCACTGTAATGTGAACGTCCCCCCACAATAAATAAGTAAACAAACACATAGATGGATGAAATTGAAAATACGTTGATTGATCGGGTTGCTCTTTGCGTGTGGTCTTTTCCCATCTTCTCCTTTCCCCCCTTGTTCTCAGTGAAACCCTTGATGGGAAGACGGACTGGGAAGGTTGCCTACAACTATACAACTGTTGTCTCCTTGGTAACGGATCAAGGGTCTGACACGGAATGAGTGCCCTCATGTGTCAATCATACAGGACCAGACCCCATCAGGGTCCTGTCTCTCACCAGTTCCCCTCGCTCTCCTCCCCAAATTCACCTGAGGAATACAAATGCTCACCTCCATGAGCTATGCTTCTGCCTGAAAGTGACCCAGGCCCAGTCACACCTAGAAAGCTGCCCACTGGCCTAAACTTCTGGAAGTAGCCTTTCTGAGCAGCTGCAGGAGTCTGGGGGGGGGGGGAGAGGGGAGGATGAGGCAGGTAGCAGATTCCTCCTGCAGGCACCAGGTGAGGCAGGCTTCCACTCATTTCTAGGCTATGATAAAAATAAGCAGGATTCATAGCCATGTGCCCCCCCCCCCCCCCCCGCGCCTGTTTCCAAGGCTCTGAGGCACCTTGGGAAGTGGGCAGAAGACAAATCCCCCATCCCCCATCTACCATCGCATATTCCTGCAGGAATGTGCAGGCCAGAGAGTTCTAGAGTTCTAGTTCCTCCTCTGGGGTTTGGGAACTTAATGCTTTGAGCTCACCCCTGGCCTACAATGGACTATCTACCCATTGCTCAGATTCATCAGGAAGTTCCCACGAGAACCAGCATTCGGAAGCCGTTTAACCCATGGAGTGCGTCAGCAGTAAACTGGAAACTGAGGAAGGGTCTCAGGAGTCGCAATCAGGTAGACGTGAATCCATACAGCTCTCACCCAGAGCTCCAAAGAAGGCAGAGAACGTGGGCAAGTGGTACTGAGCAATAAAAATGAATACATATTTTAAAAATGGTAGAATTGCCCCTGAAGGAAACTGCAGACATTGAGGAAGGACAGGTGCTGTGTGACTCAAAAGAAGGTGAGGTTATCTGTGCTTGGTTGAAATGTCCAGGAGGCAGCCATCTGCTAACCTCTGCAAAGGCACCTGGAGGACTCAGGCACAACATAATTACC